GATCACCTTCTCTTCTCTTAAGCCATTTCTACTGAGTGTGCCAACATATACTGGGCACCTACTCTATACCAAACACTGTGCTAGGCATTCTGCATGCATTACTTCATTTAATCTTCACAGTAACTCATTAAAGTAGGAACTATTATCCCCATTTTACAGAAAGGGAAACTGAACATCAGAATAGTTAACTAACTTAGCCAATATTACACTGTTAGTAAATGAGAAAGCCAAGATTATGACTTTCTGACTTCAAAGCCAATGCTCTTGATAATATCCACTGTCCCACTAGCAATTTCTCCATTCATTACCTTGACTTCTTCCTGTTATGGCTCCCTTTTCCTGAACTACCAAAGCCCTTCTAAGTTGTCTCTCTTACAGCACTGATGCCTACTAGCTTATATTTCCATTATTCACATTATTCATTTATAAGTCCCTTGAGAATAAGATATTTGTCTGATCTATCTGTGTCACTAGTACCTGACTTAGTGCCTACAGTATGGTAGATGTTAAATAAATGTTACTGAATGGGTAAATAATTCACCTTTGTTTCCAACAGAGAGCCAGACAAAAGTATGCAATGCATGTCCACTTAACATTAATACTAAATACATCCAAGAATGAGTAAAATCATTAAGCACTTTATGATTTTACTCATTTTACTTAATGAGTAAAATCATTAAGCACTTAAGCACTTTCTGGCTTGATTGAAATATAAGTCTACCCCAGGACCTCCTTCCCTTGACTCTATTGTTGGTTTCACAAGCACAGCAGAGTGGTCACCAAAGTTAATGGCTCCATCATCCACCCAGCTGCCCAGCACATAAACTTCAGACTTGGCCTCAACCCATCCTTCTCCCTCTTCCAGCCAGTCATCAATCCTGTCCATTCTGCCTCCATTGCCACTGTCTTAGTTCAGGCCTTCTATCTTTCTACTCTATCACTGCCTCAAAACTGGTTTCTGGCTTCCAGTCTCTCCCAATCCCACTCCCTCCCCGTTATCCTCCCTCCAGCTCTGATCACGTCACCCCTGCCACAAAGGAGCGGCAAAAAATTCCAAAATTTCAGGACCAAACTTCAAAACAAACTGCATTATTGTTTGTTTCCCAGAAGAGAAGCCAACTAGAGGAAAGCCATTCTAGGTCAGCACAAACCCGTTACAAGAGCAGAAAGCTGGTTTCACAATCTCAGCTCTTTGCCATCCTGTTATTTCTACCTGACTTATGTGGGGATCTCCAGCACTAATTCGTGCATCCTTTCCCTTCCCCGATGAGCTTCTTCACCTGTTTTTCAATGCTCTTCACTTCCAATCCACTCTCTTAGTCCTGGACTATTATTTGTCTCTTTGATCTGTTGGTGCTACTGCAATACCAGATCCATTTTATTCTTTCCTCACTTCCTGCTCTCCCCCCTTTAAAGGTGAAGAGCTCACCAACACCACCATCCTCTCTCCAATTCCTAGAGTAAATCTTTTATCTGTTTTTATTATTCAAAGGAGGGGGAAATCTAGTGCTAAAGTGTCTTATCCCACCCCTAAAATTTTTTAATCACCAGCACAGGGCCAAAAAAGACAAAAAACCTGAGTGCCTTTTAGCAATGGGACCTTTAGAGGAGCATGAAGTCTAAAATAGTGCCCCTGATGAAGGATCTCGGAAAAGCTTATTCTCAGGAGTCAATCAAGTTACACAGAGTACAGTTTTATACTTCCAAATTATCAAAGTAAATTTAAGTAAGTTAAATTATCAAAGTAAAATTAAGTAAGTTCTGAAAGGATACCAAAAAATATATTTATATATTTTTCAACTTGAGCTTGTCTTGCCTGCCTCCAATGCAATCTCCCCTATACAGCATGAACTAAGTAAATCTGACCCTATTACTTCTCTTGTTCAAAACCTTTCAAGGCAGAACTTCTGGGTAGCTCTAGACGATGTGATGGGGTTGTGGGGAGAGGCAGGGTATAGTAACCAACTTCCCAAAATTTCTCCCCAAACAACTTTACATTACAAAAATTCTACACAAAACCACACCCTCAGCATTACTTGAAGACAGAGAATGCTGAAAATGAAAAATAAATGTAAGTAAAATGAGAAAAGTCATTACATCGTGGCACTATGATCCCACTTGCTCCAACCTCACCCTAAGCAGGGTTTTGTGGCCAGCAAGGAAGAGAAAGGAGGGACTCTAGAAAAGGTGGCTGCGGGAGAGCTGGAGCAACCAACAGCAGGATGAAATCCACCCTAACTCTGAAAATACTAGAAGATAACCAGGCAGATCACGGCACAGACTACAGGAAAGAATTTCAATGTACGATTTAAAGGGCCAGACACCAAAAACGTGCACTTTAATGAGACTGATTTGGTTAAAGGGGCAAGCATGATTTAAAGGGATAAAAACAACTTAAAGGGACAGTCTTCCAATCTCTTGGCTTATGGAGGAGAAAAAGAACCAAAAGGAAAGCTCATAAATTAGGTCACAAAGAAAACATCAGTAACATCCATAAAGTGGACACATTACAAACAACACTCTGATCACATGCAATAAAACTAGAGTTTACTAGGAAAAAAAAAAAGAAAAAGTCCTGGAAATTTTTGAAAAATTAAATCTATTAAGCAACTCTAGAGTGAAAGTGATAATACAAACTGAAATTACAAAAAAATATATTTTTAAATAGTGACAATAAAACCACTATATATTAGAATCAATGGGATTTAAAGTAGTGGTTAGAAGAAAACTCATTGCACTAAACACTTTTATCAATAAAAAGGAAGAAAAAAATTAATTAAATTTCTTGCTCAAAATAAAAGCACACAAAGAACAAAGTAAACCAAAAGAAAGTATACATGAGGAAATAATGAAGTTTTATCTTTATTATTTACCTTTATTATTGAGGAAGAGACTAAAAAAACAAAATACCTAATTAACAAATCAAAATCCTGTGTTTTTAAAAAAATTAACAAAACACTGGTGAACTTGATCGAGGACAAGGAAGAAAGCACATACATCAAAAAAAAAAAAATGAAAAGGGGGAAATAACCATTGAAACACAAGGAATTTTTAAAAATCATAAGACACTATTTTGCAGACCTCTAAGCAAATAAATTTGGAAACCTAGATGAAATGGATAATTTCCTAGGAAAATACAGATTACCAAAATTGACCCATTAGAGTTGGAAAGTGTAAACAGACCAATTTCCATAGAAGATACAGAAAAAGATATTAAGGAATTATCCCACAAAAAGCAGTAGACCTAGATGGTTTCACAGAAGAATTCTACCAAATCTTCAAACACCAGATAGTCTCAATGTCCTATAAATTATTCCAGAGCACTGAAGAGGAAGGAAAATTTCCTAATTCCTTTTATGAACTAAGTATAACCTGATACCTAAACCAGATGAAAAAGTACAAAGAAAGAAAACCTACCCTGTCTCAAATTCCAATGCAAAAATCCTAAACAAATGATTAGCAAAGAGAGTCTAACACTATATTAAGAAAAAAGTACATCATAACCAAGTGGGATTTATTTCAGGAATGCAAAGTTGGTTCAATCTTAGGAAATCCATTTGTATCATACACCATGTTAATAAATCTAAGGAAAAAATATTATCTCCATAGATTAGGAAAGCCTTTGACAAAATTCAACACCCATTCTTAGTAAAAACATTGAATAAAATTAAAATTGAAGAATACATTTTAATGTTTTAAACATACACCCCCTTAGTCTTAAAGCCAATACCTTATTTAACGGGGAAATACTAGAAGGATTTCCCCTAAGATCAGGAACAAGGCAAGAATGCTCACTATCTCCACTATTATTCAACATTCTATTCATGGTATTAGCCAGTGCAATTAGACAAAAAAAAAAAAAAAAAATCGATTGCAGGCATAAAAATGGGTTAAAAAGAAATAAAATTATCTCTATTTACAAATAATATGATAGTATACCTGGAAAATCATGAACATTAATGACAAAACTAACTCAAATAATAAATGAATTCAGTGAAGCACCAGGATCAAAAATTAACATACAAAAATCAATAGGCTAAGTGAAAGAAGCCAGTCACAAAAGCGCCAATATTGTGTGATTCCATTTATATGAAACAGGCAGAATAGGCAAATAGGCAAATGCAGAAATTTGCAAATTTTGTATTTTCCAAATTTGCCTATTGTCCAGAATAGGCAAATCTATGGAGACAGAAAGTAGTTTAGTGCTTGTTTAGGGCTGGGGTTGGGGGCAGTGAGGGGGCACAGTGAGTGACTAGTCGCTAATGGGTACAGGGCTTGTTTGAGGGGGTAATAAAAATGTTCTAAATTGATTTTGATGATGGTTGCACAACACTGTAAAAAAACATTGAATTGCCCATTTTAAATGGGTAAACTGAGCAGATTGTAAATTACGTCTCAATAAACTATTTTTTCTTTTTTTTTTTTTAAGCACAGGTAGAGGGATGGGCTCTCAAAAAGAGGTAGGACTTTTCCAGGTGATGGAAATGTTCTAGATCCTGATTGTGGTGGTGTACTATCAGGTGTATAACTTTGTCAAATCTCCTGAAAGTTGTTGGGTTTGTTTGTTTGTTTTAATCAAGAGGCTTTATATACACAAACAATGAACATCTGGAGGACATTACGGAAGAGGAAACCCCATTTACAACAGCAGTGAAGATCAAATACCTAGTTATAAATTTAACAAGATACATGAAAAGCCGATAGAAGGAAAAATTTTAAAAATAAAACATTCCTGAAAGACACAAAAGTAGAGTGAAAATGGAAAGACATCCTCTCCTCACTTTTCAAAGAGGAAGTGACATCATTAAAGATGTCGGTTCTCCTCAGGCTAACTTATAAATTCAATGAGTCCTGAAAGGAATATGGACACACACGCCAAGGCCCCCATCACTCTGAGGGACTTAAGTGGCTCCGTCCAAGAGCCTCCCCTCTCGAACTCAGGTCTCGGGCTGAACTCAAATGACCTTCACTCGCACTTCAGCGCCCCCTCGGGGCAACACCGAAGCGCAGGTCGGGATTGTCTCTCAGCCCCCGGACTGACAGGAGGGCCGCCCACTGCCCGCGGCCAGGCGGGGGCTGGGCGCGGCGGCCTCTGAGCGACACTACGAGCCCGGAGCGGCCCACCGGGAGGGAGACTGACCGGAAGCTGACAGGGAGGCCGCGAGCAGGGAGGCCGCGAGCTGAGAAGCCGACCGCCCTGAGACTCGGACCCCAGGCAGGACGGCTGCCGAGGAGGACGGAAAGGCGGGCTGACAAGCCGGCACCCTCCACAGGCCGGGGGCCCCCTCCCGAGTCCCCGCCCGCCCGGCCCTTCGCGCCACCTGCATGTGCCTCCTGCCGAGGCCGGCTCCGCGAGCTCGACGCCCGCGCCGGAGAGGAGGCCGCGGGGGCCCTGGGCGGGGAGCCGGGGCACAGCTCCCCGCCGCCCGCGGCCCCCGGCACAGCCGCCTGCGGCTCCTCCCGGCTGCGGCCGGCCCCAAGCCCGGGCCTACACAGACCCTGAGCCCGGCGGCCGCCCAGCTGAAGGACGGCGCCGCACTGGTGCGAGCCGAAGCGAGTCACGTAGACGAAGCGCGCCCGGTCCCCCTCCTGTTCACGGCCCGCCGCCCTCATCGCTGCCTTCTTCGCGCAACCGCCGCGCAGTGCCCTCAGCGGCCAGCCCAGCGCGACTGGGGGCGGACAACGCGCGGAGAAGGGGGCGACCTGGGGGCCAGACCACTGTGTGTGTGGAGGGGGGACGGGTAGAGCTGAGGGGCTGGACCACTGTGCACTGTGTAGGGGGTGAGGGGCGAGCTGTGGAGCAGGACCCTGGGGGCTTGGGGGGCGGCAGGTGGGTTGGGGAGAGATGAGGGATGAGGGAACAAGTAGGGGAGTGAGAGAGGCTACAGAGACTGGTCACCCGGTGGGCAGCGGGAAGAGGGGAGTTTGGACCACTTTGCACGGAGTGGGGAGCAAGAAGGTGTTTGGTTGGGGGGTGGATGATGGACCACTCATCTGAAAGGTGGAGTTAGAGTTTGGAGACCAGATCACTTGGGGGTGGGGAGCAGACCATGACGGGCAGATCTGTCTGAGAAAATGAACTGAACCAAGAACAGGGTGGGGGGAGAGGGAAGAGACCAGGTCAAGTAGCTTTACCATGGACCATCTCTAAATCCATACAGCATTTTACAGCAGAGGATCTGGGGCTCCAAAATGTAGAGTGACTTCCCCAAAGTAATAGACAGGGACAGAGACATACTCTCTTAAACTTCAGGAAATTGGATTATAAATATGTGCAGAAAAGTGCACGAATCATCAGTATACATATGGATAGATTTTCATGCAGTGAACACACCCAAGCAGTATCCGCTGAGGTTAAGAAATGGCGCACTGCAGAAGCACATCACATCCTTGCCCAGTCCCAATCCCTTTCCCTTCTTTTCCTGTCTATGAGATACAATTTATTGCATAAGTTTATACATCGTTTGAATATACTACCATTTATTCATTCATTCCACTGTAGATGGAAATTTGGTTGTTTCCAATTTAGGGTAATCATCAATCAATAGTGCTTCTGGGAACAACTATATATATATAGTTGAATATATGTTATAGGATATGTACCTTAGTGTGGAATTGCTTAGGGTATTCATATGTTTAGCTTTAGCAGCTACTGACAGACAGGAACCTGAAGTGGTTGTACCAGTTTTCACTCCCACCAGCAAAGTTATGAGAATTCCAGTTGCTCCACAGGTTCACCACCCTTTGGTGTTGTCAATCTTTTTCATTTCAGCCATTCTAATGGATGCACACATTAGGACTCTCCAGAAAAAGAACCAATAGGGTGTGTGTGTGTGTGTGTGTGTGTGTGTGTAGACAAGTCCATAATCTTCAGGATAGGTCAGCAGGCTGGAGACACAGGAAAGAGTTGATGCTGCAGTTCAAGTCTGAAGGCCTTCTGCTAACAGAATCTCTTCTTCAAGAGACCTCGTTCTTTTTCTGTTTTTTCTGTTAAGGCCTTCAACTGACACCATAATGAGGTCCATCCACATTATGGAGAGTAATCTGTTTTACTCCAAATCTACTTGTTTAAATGTTAATCTTATCTAAAGAATACCTTCACAGACACACCTAGCATGTTTGACCAAATATCTGGGTACTGTGGCCTAGGCAAGTTGACACATAAAATTAACCATCACAATGTGGTATTACTTTCTTATAATTTGCATTTTCCTGATGATGTGTGAAGCTGAGCTCATTGGCCATTTGGATATTATCTTTTGCATTTTAATCTCTTGCCTATTTCTCTTTATTTTTTTGGCTGCACTGTGTCTTTGTTGCTGTGCGCAGGCTTTTCTCTAGTTGTGGTGCACGGGCTTCTCATTGCGGTGGCTTCTTTTGTTGCAGAGCACGGACTCTAGGCGCACAGGCTTCAGTAGTTGTGGCATGCAGGCTCAGTAGTTGTGGCTCTCGGGCTCTAGAGCGCAGGCTCAGTAGTTGTGGCACTTGGGCTTAGTTGTTCCGCGGCATGTGGGATCTTCCTAGACCAGGGCTCAAACCCGTGTCCCCTGAATTGGCAGGTGGATTCTTAACAACTGCACCACCAGGGAAGTCCCTCTTGTCTATTTCTATATGGGGTTCTCATAATGTTCGCATTCATTAAGAGGAGTTCCTTACATATTCTATATATTTGCTATTTGTTAGTTGTATATATTGCAAATTTTCTTCTCATCTGTGCTTCACCTTCTTATTCTCTTTATAAACTCAATAAATAAAAAAGTTTAACTATAACGTAGTCCAATATATCAATGTTTTTCTTTAGTATTATACTTCTTGTGTTTGGTTAAATAAACCTTTGACTATTCCAAGATATTCTCCTCTGTTATCTTCTAAGAGCTTTACTGTTTTATCTGCACATTTAAATACTCAGTCCACCTGGAATTGATTTTTGTGAATAGTATGATGTAGAGGGACAAGATTAATTATTTGTCCATATGTATATCCAGTTGATTCAGGCTAAAACTTCCAATATAATATTGAATACAAATGATGATAATGAACATCCTTGTCTTGTTTCTGATCTTAAAGGAGAGTTTCAATGTTTCACTATTAAGTATAACATTTGCTGTAAGTTTGTTTTTTGTCATATCATTTAACAGATTAAGGAAGTTCCCTTCTATTTTTAATTTGCCAAGAGGTTTTGGTAATAAATTCATGTTAAATTTTATCTGATGCTTTTGCTAAAATCTATTGAGACAATTGTTTTACTTCTTTATTCTGAAAATGTGATGTATTACATTGATTGATTTCTAATGTTAAAACAAACCTGCATTTTGGAATATGTCCAACTTGTTTGTAACATACCATCAATTAATATGTTTGACACACCTCTAAATTTGATTTGTTCGTGTTTTGTTTAGACTTTTTACTTCTACGTTCATGAGAGAGAATGGCTTCTTTCTTATGTATTTCATAGAATTCATCATTGAAGACATCTAGTCATGAAGTTTTCTTTGTGAGTAAAGTTTCTGGTAATAATAAGATTATTCAGATTTTCTATTTCTTTTTGGGTTGGTTTCAATAAATTGTGTTCTATGAATTTGTTCATTCCTCCTATCCTTTAAAACTTGATGGCAAAAAACATGTTCAAATATGTTTTCATTATCTTCTTAATGTCCCTAGGAGCATTGTGATATCCCCTTTTCATTCCTGATACTGTTACTTTATGCTCTTTTTTTAAATTTGATCTCAACAGTAAGTTATCAATTTTATTAATCTTTTCAAGGAATCAACTTTGACTTTGTTGATTTCTTCTATTGTTTTCTAATTATTTTTATACTATCCTGTGATGGATACTTAAATCATTGATGTTAAGCCTTTCTTCTTTTCTAATGCAAGCATGTAATGCCATACATTTTCCTCTGAACGTAGCTTTAGCTGCATCCCACAAGTTTTGTATGTCATATTTTCATTACTAGTCAGTTCAAAATATTTTATTATAATTTTTATAAGACCTATGGGTTATGATAAATATATTGTTTCACTTTCAAGCATTTAGGAACTCTCTACTTTTTGTTGTTTATTTTTATCTTAATTCTGTAGTGGTTAGTGACCATACTCTGAATGATTTCAGTCCTTTGACATTTTCTGAGACTTGTTTTAGGAGCCAGCATGTGGTCCACTTTTGGGAAATATCTGTATGCATTTGTAAAGTATGTGTATTCTGTAGTTGTTGTGTCTAGTGTTATATATATACAAAATTAGATCATATTTGTGAAGTGTCTTATCTGGGTTTCCTATTCCAAGTATACTTGTTGATCTTTCTTTGATCTATTTGCCCTATCAATAGATCAGATTGTTCTATCAGTTACTGAGAGGGGTATGCTAAAAATTTCCCTCTATGGCTCTGAATTTGTTTGTCATTTTGGTTATATCAATATTTACTTTATATGTCTTTAACTGTTGTTAGGTGCCTACACATTTAGAATCATTTTGGTAGTTTGACTCTTTTATCTTTCGGAAGTGTTTCTTTGTCTCTAACGCTGCTTCTTGTCATCTATTCTTGTGGTTAGTGTATCATGGTGTTATCTCTTTCATTCTTTTACTTTCAACCTTTTTTTCATTCTTATGTTTATAATGTGTATTGTAAGCAGCATATAGATTTTTTTTAATTCTAGAATATATTTTAAACACTATGAGACATTAAAATTATTATTGTTTTATATAGTCAATACTCATTTTGATTTTCTGATATATTTACACTTTTCATTGTTTTTTTATTCATTCTTACATATCCATTCTTCCAAATGGGGTTATTTTCCCTCTACCTAAAGAACAACCTTTACACATTACACTAGTATAGTTCCACTGGAGACGAAGTCACTTAGTTTTTGTTTACTTGATATGTCTTTTTTTATAACCGTATTTTTAAGCAATCATTGCTGGGTATAAAATTCAAGGCTGCCAGCTTTTTTTTTTTTCAGCACTTTGATACATTCTGTCTTATGACTTCTACTATTTCTATTGAGAAGTCAGCTGCCAGTCATATTACTGCCCCACCTGAAAGTAATACATTCTTTTTCCCTCTGCCTGTTTTTCAGATTTTCTTTTTGTCTTTGCTTTTCAGACATTTTACTATGATACAACTGAGCATGATTTTCTTTGCATCTATCTTGCTTAGACTTCATAGTGCTTCTTGAATATGTGATTTGTTATCATTTATCAATTTTGGTGAATTCTACTCTAGTCTTTCCCTTCTTTTCTGAGACTCCACTACACATTTTAAGTCTTTGTACTCAGTTCCATTTATCTCTTTTGCTCTTGTCTGTAGTCTCTGTCCTTGTTTCTCTTGAAGCTTCTGTCTAGTTATTTTCTACTGATCAGTATAGCAGTTCACTAATCCTCTCTTCAGTACCATCTAATCTGCCATTAAACTCCCTTACTGAGTTCTAAAATTCAATTATTATATTTTTCATTTCTAGAATTTCCATTTCCATTCTGCTGAATTTTCTTCTTCAGAATTTCTTCAGAATATTTTCTAGAAATGTTGATCAGAGTTATTTTCAATACCATTACGATAACTGTAACAACTTTTTTCTCTCTTGTGTTTTGGTTATCTGATTTTTTTTTTTAAT